CGTCTTCTCGCGCCGACTACAATACTTTACAGACCCAAAAGCTCAAGCCCGAAACCCTACAAAACCCTGGTGCGGCGGAATCAAATTCCCACTTGGCAATGGGCCTTAGCCTCAAACCAATGTATGGTAGGGTATCTAAAAATTTAGGGGTACCCTTCTGGGGGTCCCCTCAGAAGGAGTATAGTTTTGTTAGGGCCCCTGGTTGTTGGCTACCTTCCCATCAAACCACACGTCGAGTTTCGCTTAAATGCGGATCTGCCTACACCACTTCAACGGTGCACCTCAAGAACATGAATATCAATGGCCTCTGATGGAGCAGTCATGGTGCGCAATTCGACCCATGAAAGTGTTTCAGCACCAGCACCCTCTCATCAAAACACCGACGACTTCTTCTACTGCTACAGCTGCTACTACCGCGGCCCCCATGGTGGTATACTATATTAAACTGGGAGTATTTAATGTTAGGGTACTTTGCGGCAGAATTGAAGACCAGTGTGCTCGGCCGTCGGTTTGAAAGGATTGGTCCGCATCTGTGGTGCCAGGCGTCACCTGAAAAAAACCAAGGGGGGGTTCAAAGTCAAAGCTCTGCTTAGTTAGGCCAGAGGTAACCTAGGATGATACAACATTCGTTTTTAAAACAACCCGTTGTGCGGTCTGGGATTTACGGCTTAAGGTTTACGGTTTCGGGCTTAGGGGGTAAGATTTAGGGCCAGGTTTCATTAGGGTTTAGGACTTCAAGGGCGTCTCTTCAGGATTGTATACTCCAAGGCGTTGCTTCGATCGGCTCTTGTTTGGGCGGCAAGTGACCCCCAAGAAAGTATTCTGGGCACACCACCACTGTCCCAAGGACATCATTTTGGACAACCCCTAATCTTTCTGCTGGTTAGCGAGGAATGAAGGAATGGATCCATGTAGCAGGTCCCTATACAATAACGATAAGAATAAAAAAGAATACTAGCTTGCAAGCTAGTATCCATGCCTTCATTGCCTGCTATCTCTGCCAGCCAGAGGTAAGTCATGTGAGCAGGAGTTGGGATATTGAAGTATGCATGCGCGGGTAGGGGTCAATGTGCTTCTCTACATCACCTCCCCGTAGTGATAAACCATGATACAACACCCACCCCACCCCTTTTTTTACAGCTTTTCCCTATATATATATATAAGTATACCAACTGGGAAATTCACAGCACGCCACAATTGCGCAAGTTCATTTTTTTAGATGGGGGGATTTACTAAGAGGAAGAAGGAATTACCTACAATTTATTGTGCCCCAGAGTGCTCTCTGGCAGGGCAACAGATTTCTCATCCCACAGCCCAGAAGGGCTCAAGATAGGAGCTGACTCTCAAGCATGATCATGATACTCTCAGTAACCTCCCCATCACCCTAGTGGAGGCTTCGCCCTCTTTGCTATAACTCAGTGGGAACAATTGTCAGGTCAATGCGAAGGTGCCATCAAGCAGCATTCATACGAGTCATCGGCGCTGTGGTCTCCGAGAGGAAAGACTCCTGCAAAACCCGTTTGCAAACTGCACTGCATTGAAGTGAGCCTTTCAGGAGTTGCTGCTCACCATGCCAGATGTCTAGCATAGTTCCAAGGAGCCGCTCTCAGGATGCTTGTCACTACAGAAAGACTGCACAGTTGGGCAAGGACATCACATCGGGAGCCCACTGGGCCTACTGCATGCACAACAAAGGGGGAGGGGTGACAGCCAAGTCTGACAGTCTGCCCAGGCTTTGGCAACAGACCGTTCGTTTCCACCAAGCCAGCATGAGTGCCAGGATTCATGAATCATCTACCCACCTATTTCTTACGAAGCCAACTATTTTTCCTCGAGGCAGGTCACAGCATGCTTCGAAGACTTGATCCGGCTGTTCATGGTCAGGTTTCAGCAAGCCGTCCAGCATGCACCAGTAACTGTGGACGGCTGCGGCGTTGGTTCCTTCTGCACGTGGGAATCCAGATAGATCATTGAGGAGAACCCAAGGGACAAGCTCAACACATGTCTTGCCACAACATGGGGAGATTTGAGGCCGCTGTGCTTCCCTGCATCCACTGTCTGCATGTAACTTTGCCCATGCAAACAGTGGTCCTTGATTTTTTTGATTGCAGCCTGGACAATCGCATCACCCTCCGCGGCGCAGCTCTAACAATGCCCCATTCCCGTCGATAGAGCCAGCATCAGGGTTGGGATTCGTGCTGCCGCGCGACCATCCGCTCGTGAAATAACTGAAGCGCACTTCTCGACCATGTCCTCTTGCTCAAGGCAAGGCACAAGATCCCCCATGAACTTGATCTGACCGTGCATTTGCATGTCTACACCTTAGGCAGCACGGGCCAACTCTGTTAGCCAAATCTTCTGGCCGAAGCGTTGTAGTTACTCCTGAATCAGGCTCTGCACGACGTCCAGGCTGCACCTGTAGCTGTGGATGGCAAGGGCGCCGATTTGGCAACCCTTGATGGCATCTAAGAACTGCTGCATCCAGGATGTACCCTTCCCAAACTTTCCACAGATGGCCAGACTGACCACAGCGTCTGGACACCATCGTTCCGAGCAACCTGCTCCACCCGTGGCCAGATGGCAGCTACGTGCCAGGGGTTCATGGGTGCCTGGGAATGGATGTCTGCTGTTCAAGCCTGTGCTGTGGTCATGGGGGAGAAGTCCATCCCACATTGCCCCAGCAGAAGCGGGGGTCAAGTTCCCAGCTGCCTCCGCTACCGCATTACATGACGTGCTTTAGCGCTTGCAGGACCATGCCATGCTGTTGGCTCAGTGCAGCCTGCAAAGCCGAGAGGCAAAGTCGCGCCCTTCATCAACCTGGCAGTCCTTCTCACATGGCGGGAAGAGACAAGCTTACTAAACCCATGGCTATGCCACCCAAAAGGCCATAGCAAAGTAAGAATGCCTGACCCCCCTCATCTGGTGATGCGCGCGGCTGATGCCCAAAGCCCGTCAACGCAAGGCCACAAAGCAAACAGCTGGCCAGAGTGAGGGAAGCTCGCACTTGGCTGGCCATTGCGAGGTGGGGCGGCGCGCAGCACTGGGATTGACTTTAGACTTTAGACCTGCATCCATTTTTCCATAAGCCAAGCGGTACAGCTAACTGCGATGACCCGGCACGTGTCCAACCAAGAACTCCACCCGCAGCAGGTCACACAACATGTTGAGACATTTGCTGTGCACTGAGACATATGCTGTCCATTTCGGCAAGCTTGAAGGTAATACCTGTGTGAACAAAGGATAACAGCGCTCCTCGGCACCTTTGGCCACGGGACCTTGCCACGCATGCAGTGGTGTCAGCATGCGCAGAGACATGTGTATACTCCATCTTGTGAAGAGTGTAACCCCTGAGATGCCCCGTAGCCGCCCCAATGCACATCTGTTACCCTAATGCAAACTGTCTGTAGACTGCAAGCCCTCAAAGAAGCACAGCCTGTACCGTTGCTTTGGGGGAAATTCGCACAGGGTAGTCAATTCGTGCAATGGTATAATTAGTCTAGCGACTTGTGGTAGGCAGCTTGACTACAAGCCCCTTGGGCGCACCAGGAGCACTTACTGGTGTCTAGTTTGAAGGCATTGGAAACTCGGCTCAAGATTCAACCAAGCAACTCGCTTCTTTTGCGCAAGGTTCGGCATCAAATGGGGGCTCTGCATCCTTTACTCTGCAAAGTGGCTATTTCTCTGGAGTTGCGGGGGGCTTGTATTATGCTGGCGCTGAGAAAGACAAACTCACAAACGCGTCCTCCTCTGCAATATCGGCAGCATCAATCGACACAGCATCTGGTTCTGCGTGCACCTCTTCAGCTTCTGTATCGCCTGCCGGCATCGGTGCACCTTTGCTGGGGCACCTGCTCTCTCAAGTCCAAAGCTGGGCAGCGGAACTGCACGAGCCAGTCTATGTAGTCAAAACAGTGTGTCAAGGCCTGGCCCTTGCTCAATCTAAAGTGCCTTAGAAACTGATGTAAAGCCAGAGTCACAACAATGCTCGACCTCAGGTTCAGGATCGAGAGGTTGCTCCTTCCCAACACATGGACACACGCTCTACTGACAAATGCCACGCCAAGGATCTCTTGACAAGCAACCGTTCTGAAGCTGTTACGACAGACCACTTATATGACTCGTTTGGTGATCTTCTGATTCCGCAGGTTACCATATTATAGGGCTATATAGGGGTTATATAGGGGTTATATAGGGGTTATATTGGGGATATATTGGGATAATGGAAAAGCAAATGGAAGCTACTTTAGTACATAGGGTTATACAGGGGGTTTAGGCCGAGCTCCTGCTCCAGAAGCGCAACGACTAAAGCTGCCCAGCAAGCTTCCGCGAGGCTCGACTCTGACATGGCGCGGCGAAGATGTTCCAGATAGAGACCCGGTCGCACGTGCCAGCTGTTGCTCTCATTCACTGCAGCTTCTCATAGAAGCTTCAAGATTCTACTCATGATTTCAGCACGTGTCAGCTGCCCACGAGCCATCAAAGCGCAGGAACAACATGGAAAGATGCAATCCTGAGCAGTGGCATTCTCAAATCTCTCTAGCATCTGGGTTCCGCTGCTAGCCCACATCCCTACACTACTCCCCCTAGATTCCCCCCCAACCCTGGTACAAGACGTTTTGCAAGGTGAGAGTGGGACTGGGCGTAGCTAAACACCCAGGCATTTGCACGCTTATGACTGCCAAGGCTGAACCTACGCGTGGATTTTCCAAGGTCCTACCCAACCCCTATAAATCTTTATGCAATGTACGCAGTTTCCACATGAAGTCCCCCCAGGCTGCCCGCCCTGAGCCGCAAGTTCGAAGACCAAAACCCTGGCCTCCAAGCCCTGAACCCTTCAGACCCTAAACCCGCGACCCTGCAAATCTTGGGTTGCCTTTTCTCTGAATTCTGCAATGGGGTTTTGCCGCTTGCATGGCCACGCAGCATCGCAAGGTGGAAATCCGGGTCCGACTAAAGTGTCCTGTGAGGAGACATAACCTGAGACTACATGAAAGCGCAGCCTGCCGAGCCACGCAGCGACGTTCGTGGGCACGGGCATAGAACCCGAAGCCGCGGAAGCCTGCAATTTTCCCAGAGAGCACACAGTCTATACTGGGTTGCTGTTAAGGAACTTAAATTAAGTTACCACAAGGGGCATATATAGTAAATAATAGGGTTCCCCCAATATCGTAACTTAATTTAAGTTCCTTAACAGCAACCCAGTTATTATAGGGTTTTGGGCTTGGGGTTTAAAGCCTGCGGTTTAGAGTCAAAGGTGATTGTTTTTCGGGTGTATCATGGGTTCCCTTACCACCCCTCCTCTGCCCTCCGGCCTCCCCTCTATAGGATTTTTCCTGTTCAGTAAATGCTAGTTAAGGGGGAAGCTTCTGGGCGGGTCGTATAGGCGGGTGGTTAGAAGAACCAAGAAAACGCAGGCTTTGGGGTTACGCTGCCAATACCCTTGAAATAGGATCGAAAAAACATGTAAGGCCTTCCTAGTAGCATTGTAGGATATATTCCGTCATTCAAAGGTATTGGGCTTTGTATCCTCGATTGAACATGGGCCCTGAGAGCGCCTCTTATACTCCGTGCAGAGAAATCCCATTCATTGCAGCACCCCAAACCTAAAAACCCTAATCCCCAGACACAAACCAGTGGCTTTAAGCTGGCGCAAGCAATGGAGACTACATGCAACCAAAGTAGTGCTGCAGCTGACATTTCAATCTCCCGGTAGACATGGAAAGGAGAATGGAAACCGCTGTATGAGATTGATTTTAAATAGCTGCTTCTATAATTCAAGCTGCAGCCGAAGCGGTTGCCTCCTATCCAGCCCAGCTTGGCATTGCAGCCTTCATGCTCACACTTGCGTCTGGCAAAGCTCTTTGAAGACCCACGCTCATCTATCACTTGCTGTGGCTGACAGCTAAGCTTCAAGCGATGGCATCTCTGAGGCATAGCAGGAATCCCATCAAAGGCTTCTCTGCGAAGCCGTCAAGAGGCACATAACTAGAATGGCTACGTCTCAGCATGCTGACTGTGCGAAGTGCTCCGCATGATTGTTCTTTGTCTAACCAGGCGCAAGACTTCAAAGCTCTGATGAGCCCGGAAGCTGCAAACAGGATAGCCGTAGTCAGATGCCGCATGCAAAGCTTCAAGGCCTCAAGCAAAGCCCCGCGTCACAATGCACGACACATTCTGCCCCGCCCAGAAACTCCACACAAGCAACTCAGTCAAAACCCAAGATCCTAAAAGCGTGTAGGAAGCACGCGTCCGCAAATACTCGCCGCGCGACATCTTGAACAGCCAAACCTCCCACACGAAGGAGGGTTTGGGGCTTCAACAGCATGGACTCAATGGGTTATCAGGTCTAAGAGTCTAAGCAGCTTCCCGAAAATCGGTGGCCCGCTTCCTGGTCAAGCTCAAATGTATATATTAGGCCCCAGATTATGAAAGCTCCCACCTGGCGCCTCACGTTGGAAAAGAACTCCCGCTGCTGCAAGGCGTTTCAAGACAGTCATCTAAAGCTTGAACCCTTTGGAAACCCTGAGCTCTAGACCTAGCCCTAAGGCAAAAACGACTCGCAGCATAAAGACAGCATTGCTCTGGGCAGTAGGCTGATTTGTCCCCTGTCACCGGGCTGCCATCTCCTGCCGGACACACGCAAAGGATTTGGGAACAGACCTGGGATGCCGAAGAGCAAAACCAAACGTAGTCGTGATAACAGCCAGCGTCACTGTGGTCAGCAATAACCCTTTTTCTCCAGTTGGCACCATCGTTATAGCGAATGATAAGTACAAAAACCCAAAGACAGCTACCAATGAGAGTAGCTGCCATGTACATACTGCACAGCTCAAGATTCTAACCAGATAACCCTTGAAGCCTCCAAAACTCCAAAGCCTCCAGGGTCCAGAGTCTCCCGGGCCTTTAAACTTTAGACAACTACTTCTAACATCTGAAGAAGCATATGTAGCTTCAGGGGCTTAGTAAACAACTGCATGAGCTTCTGCCCACCCACAACCACTGGAGGAGTCGACAAACTAGTGCATACGGGCATGTTCTATTCTTGCTGTTGCCTAACTTTCCGACATGGCCAACCAGAAAACTAAAGCCTACGCCCCGAGCCTGAATCCAAACAGCCCTGGTCCTAAGCCTGGATCCTTGTTCCGCATTGGGTTCTTTGATATAGCGAAACTGAAACTAAAATCATATCAGAAATGTCCCGAAACCCTGAACCAGGACTTGATCCTCATTCCTATTCCCAAGGATTTACTTCGCAGTAAGAGAAGGAACCCCATACCCCCAAAAACATGGAGGATCCATAGTGGGTTAAGCCTGGACCTAAGTAGGCGAAATACGAAACACTGGTGTTATCTAAAGCAGTATGCATAGGGGACAAGAGCGATTTACCTGATGATCTGATTATATCTTGGATTTTCCCTACCTTAAGCCTTGGGTCATTCCCCCACCCAGTAACTGTCCTTAAAGGGGCCTTATTAAGGGGGTTCTTATAACTCCTATAACCCATTGTGGTAACAGTTACTGTAAGGGGGAATGACCCCAATAATCCCTATCTAAACCCAATAAAAGCCCAATATATTACGCTATAATCCCTATATAACCTCTATAATTCCTGTAGTTTCCATGTTCTTCTCCATTTTCCCTTAAGCCCTTTAATGTGGTGGCCGACAGGAACAAGCTGACCAGGATGCAGCCTACCCCCACCCCCTCCAGCTCCTTACTTCTCTCAAAAATTCCTATAGTCCCCCTTAAGTAGATAGAATATGAGGATTATTATATTGGGTTAATGGAAAAGAAAATGGAAACTACTTAGGGTTTAGGGTATACTTCCCCTTAAGTAGATAGAATATGGGGTATATGGGGATCTTATTACAATATCTACCAACTGCAATTCTTTGCTTGCGTCGTCTCGGCCCCGGCTGTCGAGGCGGAGCGCTTACAGTTAAGCCACCATCTAGCGTAGTTCCAGTTTCCATATCATGTTCCACTTGATGTCCATCATTCCCCAGCCCCTAAACTCAAAATATCCCGTATATCCCGCCCTCAAGTCCTGCAGACTCTTCCCTTCGCCGCTCCCCGCCGCGAGCCAATCGCCAGCTCCTGGACCTCGGGTACCGGATTCACTTTGCTCGAGTAGTCTCGAGTAAGTAGAAGAATGGTAATGAACATGGGATCGATCATGTTACTTGAGGTTAAGGGCTAGAGGCCCAAGTAAGGAGAAGAATGGAAGAGAAAATGGAACATGCAGACTTCTGTTGCTAGTATAGCTTGAGTTTAGGAAAACTATTATGGTATCTAGGCCTCAGGATCTATGCTCACTTTGAACACTAAACTGGGGCCTGAGAAATGTGAGAAATGAGAAGGGCCCTTGAAATAGGTTTAGTAATTAGTGGCCCAAATAATCAGCACGACCGCCTAATGGACACTGTTTTCACATTTATTTAGGGTGTAGGGCTTAGGGGAAAGGGATAGTTAGAATGAAGGAGAGTCAAAGCGAAAAGAAATTCTCAAGTGGACAATGAAAATGGAAACTCAGATTATATAGCGGCTCATAGAGTTACAACAGCTGCACGATGTAAGGGAATAGTACGACTGATTCTTCAGGTGTCTGCATTAGGCGGTTTTTGCCCACAACTTGCACACAAATATTAAGGAAGCGAAAAAGTCCTAGTAGGATTGTGGAAGGCTGGGTTTATGCTCTGACGGGGCGGGGGTTTCCGGATTCTGAACAGAAGTAGCAGCAGCAGCAGCAGCAGCAGCAGCAGCAGCGCTAAGCAAGATAACAAGCAACTAAACACATGAGAGAAATCGTGCCAAGAATAGCTGTTACGCTGGCATCAACAATGGTGGGAGGGTTTAGGAGTCTAATGACAATAACAACAATCATAGAAATCATAAGGACAATGTGATTAATAGCATTCAGTAATAAAAATGGTGTGATGTTCAGAAGAAGATACAGATCACGCCTTCCTCATGGCCGCAATGCCTGAAACTTATCAGAACCTGTGTTTGTCCATGTGGGCCAATAATCAGCACTACCCGCTCGAGACAACAACTCATAACGATGAGCAACCAAGGATCCAAATTTCTAGCGTCGAACCACCCTCACACTGATTATTAGAACTGTGTAACCATGACGGTCCACTGCGTGACCAATTGTGACAGTAAGTCGTGACTCACAAGCTCCTGTCCGATGTCACGACTGTTTGTCTGGAAGAATACAACCCACTACCATGCTCCGCAAGCAGGGGCCTCGAGAGGGACCTGCATTTTTACACACCTGCTTGATGGAGCAACTTCGATGCACTAGGATGTTCCAACGCCTGAATGCTTTCTCCATGGGGTCTCTGCGGTTTGCAGGCCTTTTTCTTGCTCAGGCCAACTTGGTGCTTGAAGGGTGCAAGCAGGGACTCCACGATTTGGACTAAAATCTGGTAACCTCCCCACACCCCAAACACTAAACCCGAAACCGCCTTCATGCATCTTGGGGCCCAGCTCACCTCTGCTTCGCCTAATGACTTCTGACAAGCCGGCAACCTGAAGCCCTCAATCAACCCTGATCCCACTCTTGTTCCTAAACCTTGGACCCCCGTGCCCTAATCCCTGCATTCTGAACCCTTGTCCCATTTTTGGTTTGTGCAACCGTCAAGTCCAGCACTGAACAGAAGACTTGAGCCTGTGAGGCTTGGACTGGGGCGAAGCATGCGAGCGAAGCCGTAGTGCCTGGGTTTAGACACCCTGGGTTTAGGGTTTGGGGTTCCTGGGTCAGGGAGTTGAGCTACAGTCGAAACTCCTTAAAGGGGTTCTATAAGGGATTATCGGGGACTACTACCGGGGTTATTAAGGGAGATACTAGGAGTTTTAGACGATGGCTCAGTTTGCAACACGTATGGCTTCCCCTACCAGCCACCCTATAGTACCCCCCGCAATGTTCCCTCTGAATAAGGGTTATTTAAGGATAACTAATCTTATTCAAGGAACCCACCCCTGAAACAGCAGAAGCTTCCTTTCCCTGGCACCGCCTCAACATAGACAGAACACTATATGCAAATGATACTTCAGTGAGAAGATGGTTGCACTTTCAAGTTTTGAAGAGGCCACACATGAACGGTCTGTTCCCTGTATTCTACAGCCTGCCACTGCTTTATGCGAATGGGCGTTCTTGTTGGCTTCATTGCGATGATGGTGGCTGTGGTAGATAAGTAAGTACACAGGGCTGATACCTCAGGTTTCTACATTGATAATCAAGTCTTTGCCTTGACGCAGACGAATTTTATGATGCCCCCCTATCTGTCCAATGCAGGCGGTACTGGCTCCCCGGGAATTAATTACCAAGCATGCCCCCGAGAGTGTATAAGAAGAGCAATGTGTCCATAACGTTTTCGAGACCTCCGCTGAAGGTCGACAGCAAATCACTATCTTCTTCGAGGCCAAAGCGGCAGACAAGTCTTGGCACAAGGCTCCACTGCCAAATGACTATCCTACGCATTACATGGGCCCAGTGCGTACATGATGAAGACGCAGAGAACAACTGCAGTCATGGCAGTAGGAACCGCTCAGTACGTAAATCGAATGTGAAACCTCCATTGCAGCTAACTCCTCACAAGCATCATAATGAGGAAGGAAGTGTGAGACAAATGTTTAGCGCAAACCCCATGACCAATGAATCACAAGAATAATCGGGGGAATGATCATCCTGCACAACGAGCACCGCGCGCAGAGAGCAGAGGCGGAGAGGGAGAGAGAGAGAGAGAGGGGGAGAGAGGGAGAGAGATTTACATAGGTATATACATAGACATCTACATCTACATACATACATATAGACACATATATATATATATGTATATGTATACGTACATAGATTGACAGGGACTGAGGGGTGAAGATGAAGAGGAGAGGGCTAAGGCCGGCTATAGGGTGGAGAGGGAGGGAGTCAGACTTGGGCGAAGGCAGAAACCACACCCAGGCCAATGGACACTCGCGGCGTACTGTCCAGGGTGGACTGCCTCAGTCGCAGACAGGCAAAGCATTACTTCATATGGGGTTACCATGGGGGAGATGAAGGGATAATATGTAGTCACCCTCAAGTAGATAGAATATGGAATTGACCATTATTATATTATGAGATCCCCATGTGCCCCATATTCTATCTATTCAATTGGGACTATGGGGGTTGTATAGGAGTACATGCGTCCGCACTCCGCGCTCCGAGTATCCCTCCCCGTGGTATGGTCCCCATCTGGGGATGAGGCAATATCCATACTCCATAAGCCCAGGAACCATGAACTCTGCGCAAAAACTTTCTACACAATTTTCAGAACCTTTGTAAATAATCTCAGGTGACTACCAGGCAGGGGGTACCTCTATAAGTCCTCAAAAAAATTCTACAAAACCATGAGAAGACCTTTACGAACCCTCCAAAAAGCTCAACCTTCTTGAAGCCCTCTATAAAACTCTATAAAACGTAGAAAACCTCTTGAACCTGATGAAAACTTGCCATACAATCCATGAACCCCTTGTAAGCCATCATCAAACCCTGGAGGAACCTCTATAAAAACCATAAGCCACTATAAATGTACCTAGTTCAACCCTCGAATTTAAACCTTTGACGAATCACCAAACCCAAACCACAGGACCCCAAAAGAGGGTGGGTGAATTTGCTCTGAATCATGACCATGGGGGGGGGGGGGTCCCGTGAATACTGACTCATAAACAAGGACACGGTTGGATTAGGATATTCACAATATTACCCACATAATAATGGAGGATGGAATGGAAAATGAAATCCAAAATGAAATGCAAACCCTAAACCCTAAACCCTAAACCCTAACTACATTTTTGCCACCACTTGCTTGGCTGACGCAGCATGGTAAGGTTCGAATCCGGCAAAGTCAGGAAACAACTACGACGGGCCTCTACTGCCACTCGACAAGACAGAAAGATCAAGAGACCAGAAGCTACATGCATATTACTATCCGGGGCTGAGGGCTTAGGGAATCTCGGATGGGGATACATTGGGGTTCGGCCCAAATTCCTGTTCCCTAAATGGTGGAAACTTATTTAGGTACCCATATTGCAACAAGTTCCCCAATACAAAGAGTTATGTATGTATGCACATTTCTCCATATCATATATAGAGGCGTCTGTAGTGATTTGGATTCCTTTAAAGTATGGGTCCCCGTTTGGGCGTTTCTTCCCTCATAAGGGTTGTGCTATTTTGGGTGTCCACGTGGGGCCCCCATTTTGGGAGATCCCTTGTTTTTGCAAGTCGGAACCAACAGCCTTCAGCCAAAAACTCGCTGTTGAGGAGAGTTCAAAGGCAAACCAGTTCGATGCAATTTATTGTTCTCACTTCAGGACATAGAATCTTACTCTGTGTCAGGAACCCAATCTTCGACGTAGAGGCGACCCACGCGTAGACAAGTCACAGCAAGCCGCGTCACCACAGCAGTTCAAATATGCCCTATAGTGAATCAAGGAAATCCCCACATTCATGTTCTAAGCATGTGCCGTCGGCGATCTGAGAATTCGTCCTAAGAGGCTTCCTGGCTGTCGCAGGATGAGGTCCTGGCCGCCAGCTTCATAATATTGAAGGGATGTTTTTGGGAGGAGTGCTCCTGATTCCTCTTTCGCGTGATGCAAGCTAAGATGACGCATGGTACATGCGACGTCGCTTTTGAAAATTATCTCGACTTTGTTCAAAGTCAAAGCAGCAGCAGAGGTCAAGCAACAACTGCAAAACATCTTACAGCACAGGCCTGCAGTGGCATGTTTCACTGTAGCTATCCTTAGTTTTCGGATGGCATGCCCCACTGGGAAAAACACAGCTGCACTCCATACAGATCTCTTGCTTGCAGTCACAGCCTACACACGACAGCACTGCAGGTACATCTGTACAATCGCTTGCAGACTTACTTGAGACCTGCACAGAGCATCATTGGCACGCAGCCATGCTTGCATGCTGGAAGCACGCCTACTGCACTCGAGCTCCTTGTCGTGACTTAAAATTGTGAAAGTTTGCGGCTGAAGCAAAGCTACCTCTATCTATATCTCAAAACAAGCGGTTCCCGGTTGTAAGTCCATGTCACCCTTATTGTAACAGTGGCTGCATTGACATTGCTGTTTCAAAAGTCTGCATGTCTCGACACTACAGAGTCAGAGTAAGGGGTGCCCTGCTTCATGTTCTGTATGTCGCTCATGGGCAGCGTAAGTTGTTCAAAGCTACAAGCTTGAGGCTTTGTTGCGAGTGCGGATGCATCCAAGGGGAGCAGTGCTTTGATATCCTGCAGCATGGTGCGGAATACATAAATGTCTGCAGGTACAAGTTGCCAGTACAGCTTCCAAGCAAGACAGCAAGCTACTTCGTTGGGCAGTTTGTCCGCGAGGCTGGCGAGAGATGGCGAGAGTTGCCGATGCTAGTGCTTCTGGCTCTGTCGAGTGCGAGAAGATGAATGACTGCTCAATATCACTGTTAAGTAGCGCAGCAATGACCACGCTGAACGTTTACTGCCGGGAGCACGCGCATCTGGCATGCCTGAATTGACCAGTCTCCATTTCATGGAGTTCTGGATGCACTTCGCCAGGAGTCACACCCCACTCCCAGGCTGCAGGGCAAGCCGATGGAAAGACGCGCTCATGGCAAGCTGAAGCGTGCTGAATCCAGTGTCCATATCAGTAATAAAACGAAAAAGAATTACCAACAACAGCACAATAACATACGAACAACAACCGTGAAACAAACAACGCAAACAATAGTGTTAATAACAAGCTCCAAGCTCTAAGCTCTAAGCCCAGGGATCACCAGCACCTGGAACAGTTTGGGTTTGGAACGCAGCAGAGCAGCAAACGTACAGCCTTTGGGCGGCAATTGGGCGACTTCGGCATGCTTGAAAGGCTGCAAAAGTTGCTTGCAGCTCTTGGACACTTTTTGTGCACTTGAACTTTGGTCTGTCTTTGCAAGGTACCCAGCGCTTGCACCACGTCCTAGAGAACGCAGCGCATTCACGTTGCGTTGTGGCTGCGCCCTGTCCCATCTCAAGTCTACACTCAATGGCGCGAGCAGAAGCAGCTCCTCACAACTTTCGGATGTGCCCTGCGGTCTTGCAGAAACACATATTGGCTAAGAGCTGGCTGAATATAGCCAGGTAGAAACTTTGGCTGTTCTATGGCATGCTGAGACTGCAACCCGAGATAGGCCATGTGATAATGAACTCTGCAACTTCACTCCGTGGAGTTTCCTAAACTGAATAATTACACGTTTTCATACTTTTTCCATCGCTTTCCATGCCTGAGCACTGCTAGAGCTTGGGAACTTTTCGGCGCTGCATTCTGTAGTGGTTCACTGACACTGGAACATCATGAACTCAGTGCCACGACCTTCGTAGCCATCAACTTAACCCTTGAATCCTGAACAGCGAATGACTGCAAAGCTCAAGAATTTGACGCAGCGAATGCGCCCATCGCGAAGCGCGGAAGCCTAATCCTAATGAGGAAAGGCATGCCATTCACTGCCAGCTTCGTACGGTGAGACAACTCTTTAGAGTCTGGCATTGTCTGGGGGTGCTGCTCTTCGCAGCGACAATCTCAAGAATCCTTCGGAAACGAATTCTTACCCCGACAATGATTCGGAGACAAAGGAAGCTGGTGACTGAATGTTATGATATGTCATGATGATGATGATGATGATGCTCCCTGTGGTGGGATAGTTGATACGTTCTGTTGTCCGGCGTCGTCCTTGGCATGACGATGTCACTTAAAAAATACCAAGGTTGCGACACGAGGCTCATGTTGCATTCTGCAGGATGGCTAAATCTTGAGCTCGAGATTCGGAAGGCTTTAGAGTACCTGGCACGTCGCACTATATCCAGTAACCAGGCAACCTCCCCCCATATCATGAAGCCTAAGTCAAGCTCACAAATGTCTTTGAAAAGCATCGTCATCCTGCCCGAGATGTCTGTCCAGAACCTCATGGGCTCTGCAGCGTGATGGTCTGAGAGCTTTTGGCATTTCAAAAGCAGACCAGCAATTTACCTTCCTGGTTGAAGGCCAAGACTATGTGCAATGCGGCCCCAGGCACGGTCTGGACATGGTCAGGGCTAGAGGATTTTGACCAGAAAGCCTTTTACGCCTGCCCTCAGCGTTTCAGGGTCTAGGGTTTAGGGGTCAGCATGCCCCATCTTGCAGTTCCCTTTCTGCTGGCAATCCGGTTCACCATTCACGCATTGGACTTAAGCAAGCCTGTTTCCGAGAAAGTCGAAACTTCGCGCTGTGACACGCCTAGCCTCACCAAGCAAAAGGGTTAGCCACCAGACCCAAACTGACAAGCCCTATATAGCCCTATATATAACCTAATGAAAGCCCTATGAGGGATATAGGGGACTCATAATTGGGATACAAGATGATACAAGTACAATCATAAGTAGGTTGTATTTCAATTCTGTCCTGCTACAGCTACTGTTTATGAGTGGGCCTCCCACGGCACATACTCAACCACGTCCAGACCATGACGACATGCTGCACTCAGCTAGCAGGTACAACCTTGTCCGACTCCCGGGTCCCATTTACGATGCGGTTCAGCATCCTGCGCGCTATAGTTGAGGACCGGGGAGGAGGCTGCTCTTCCGTGTCGCTGTCTGAAAGCCGATATTCCCACAAGTCTGTCACAATTATCTGCTCACTCATTGCGCCCACATACTCGCTGGCATAAGTTCTTGCTAGCGTGTAAAAATCCCAAAAGCGTTGCATGCAGCTGGAGAATTCCTTCTCTAGCAGGGTGACCACGCTGGATTCTTCTTTGGTCGTCAGGTTCCCAGAGTGAAGCCAAGGCGTCCACAGAGTCATCTCACTTACCCAGCGGTCCGTTTCAACACTCACGTCAAGCCTGTCTACACTGTAGCCAAACCGGCCCGAAAGCAAAAAATACGCTGCACGGGCAAGCGTCCCCGATTCAAACACTGCATCACCGGCTGGAACAATGGCCTGTGAGATGGCATGTGTAGCCAGGTGCTGCAGAACCAGAAGTTCGGCAGGATGGTGACCACTTACAGATGCCAAGTACTTGGAGAAACCGACTTCTCGTAAGCACCCTTCATACCTCGCAAATTGTAGTTCCCGCTGCAGGGGCTTGGACAATAGTGCCAGCAAAGGTACCTCAGACTCCGGACGATCCTCCCTGTTCAAAACGTAAGCCCGCTCCAGAAAGTGGGTGATGCGCACTCGCAGATCTGCATCAACGTTGGTGTACGCCAGGAATCTTCTCAGCTGTCGGAACTGTTGCCGATGGTCATCTGCTGCTCTGCTGAGAATCGCGCAATTGGTTGTGATTGCGCCGAGCAGTAAGGAGAAAATTGCCAGCCCAACCATGGCAGCCATGATGCCGAACAGAATCTCTAGCTGCGTCACTGGTTCTGCCTCCGTGGTCCCAAAGCCAAAGCAACAAAGCATCCAATACAGGGAGGCAGTGTACCTGTAACCCATCGTTCCGCTGTGAGTCACAGATCTTGCGACCCATCCATCGACCGGATCCGTACTTCCCACATAGTACCATGCACAAGCCATGACGTGCTGCATCAGCCTCAGCACCACGGGTAGTCATACGAGAAAATCTCTGTCATAATGCTTGGCATAAAATGGACAAACGCTTTTGCCGGATATGAGGAAAGCCGAATCAAAAAAATGAATGACTACTGTTAAAAACTACTTTACAGCATGCCTGGCATGAACAGGCCATTGGCAGGCATTGTCTGATCCTATTAGAGCGTCCTACCAACATACCGTGATTGAATAGGTCTCGTATATACAGATTACATGTACTGTAACCCCCAGGTAGATGCGAATGGTGTCAGGAGACAGCGACAGGCAGACAAACAGACAAACACAAAAAGAGAGAGAGACAGAGACCTAAAATTAGGGGGACCTTTAAAAGGGGTTATATAGAGGAGTTCTATTGGGAATTACATAAAGGAATTATAGGGTTGAGGGTTTCCTAAAATTAGGGGTACTATTTGGGGGTCCCCGTAAAAAAGGGTTAAAGCATTTGGGGGTCTATATTGGGGTACCCTTATTTTGGGAAACTACCATATGAGCAATAGTCTAAACTCCCTAAAGGGGGGTTACATGGGGAACTATAGAGGGGACAACTATAGGGGGTGATTGAGGGGGATACTAGAAGTTTAGGCTATAACACATATGGCCGTAAGCATGAGTACTTCGTGCCTAATGGAGGGTAGGTGGAGGGTCTAGAAAACTGAACTGAAACATCCTGGGCACGCGATCTGCACCGAGACGTTGCAAATATTGATCTTGGCAACCAGTGTTTCTGACATCACAAGTCCTGGCGCGCAGCTGCTCTGTTTTGCGTCTAGGGGATCATACGAGATCTAAAGACCCAAGGCCACATACCAGGACAAGAAGTGCTTTCAATCCGGCACAATGCTAAAGTAGCAGTGTTGCAGGGTGTCTTGACCTAAATGCGCAGGTGCTAAAGTGATGTACAGTACACTACTCAGACTCCAAGGCTGCGAGGAGATAGTGAAGTCTACTTGTCCGCGGCCTGAAATCTTCGCGACTGCATTGTTCAGACGGACAAGTCGTAGCAATCGCAGCAGGACTTGCAGGAGGCGGATAACATTCGACTCAAGTGCCATACCTGGACTTCTGCTGAGGAACTTGAATTAACCTATTGTTGTAAGATGTTGTAAGTAGACTATACTCTTGACCATATAAATCCCTTCTACCTGACACTAAAACCCCACCTGATATTAGATAATAAATCCAGGGGCCTAAACATCCTGAAGCACGCGCTTTTAAACGGGAAGACTACTTTTGCAAAGGGGCCACCTAATAATGAATGAGACAGTGGTTCTGAGGTCATTATGGGGTTACCACAAGGAATCAAAAGGAATCAGGGATGCCCTTGATTTCCCAGGCTTTTCTTATTACACTAATTGTTTTTGCGGGGCCCGGATTATTGAATATTAGCGGCGGGCATCGTTCAATATTTGGGGAAGGGATTATAAGTATAAGCTAATTAGTTAAACTTCCCCAACAGCAAACCAGTCACCAGCCCACCCAACCACCACATATGTCCTTGGCTGGCGCTGGCTTTCGCTGTTTCTGCATGTTTTGGGGTCCATTGAATTAAGCGACTTAAACCCTCAACCCATTTGTCTCACTGTTGTGTTTGGGAATAATACAAGCCAGTGCGACACAAGCTGGCGATAAACAACATAAGTTGAGTGATACAGGGTCCTCAAAATGGCGGGGCCCTTAATGTTTGTTTCCTGAAAGAGGCGCCAAAGAATACGAGTTTCAGAGTTTTTTGGGAGTCCCAATATGGGGAGCCAATGCAAACACAGGATGTACGGGAGGTACGAGGGGTCCATAGAAGACTGGTCAGACTGCCTAGAATAGCTTTTGAGGAAACCTTCATATTCTCAGCAAGGATCAAGTCAAAGATGAGCCATCCCTTTGCATAGCTCTTGAGAATGGCACCTTGCCTGAAATCCAAGTACCCGCTGCAGAAGACTGCAGTTCGCATGGTCACCAGCAGGTCGAGATTCCAGAAGACATGCAGTACCAACTCCAAGGCACTCCAGCTGCTACGTGCAAAGGGCTCCAAGGACCACGCATTATCGAAGGCATGTAGGGGATTCAGAATGAGTTCGAAAACAACACAGCCTGCGAACAAGACATCCCAAGCTCTTCGGAAATTTTCATGCGGCGAGAAGACAAGAAAGCGCGGCTGTGAAGCAAGTAGCTGTGTCACTGATTCGCGACAAACATCCACGCTAGTCAAACTCATCCTGCGTCGCTGCAGTTCGGTTTTCTGCGGATTTGTCCCGGCACGATCTAGCCAACATGCTCGGAGATCGAAGTGGGCGTCTTGGGCGCCTTGTGAGTGGTGTGAGCTCTCATGCAGCGACGGGGCCTCGGGCGCTGGTGGCAACATGCGAGCGCCATCGGGTTCACAACGAGCTTGCTGCAACCGAAGGCCTTGTGACTTTGCCACAGTGTCATCAGATGCACCGCTAAGGAAAATTGGGGACTTCAGGCCCCCAACATATTCAGAGCCCGAGCCGAGAATGCTGCTCTGCGCAGGGCCTTCGCCTGAGTGCGTCAGTCTTGCCATGTCAGTTCTGTAACAGTCGCCCAGTTTTGAATAGAGCTCCCAGAACGTCTCGGCGCCCTCCCGTTGCACCAGATGGGTTTCTGCATCGACCTTGACCTCCACCTCTTCGAGGCTTGGATCTTGGTCCTCCATTGCCGATGTGGCTTCTAAAAAGTGCACAGGGACTAAGACCTCAGTCCATCAGTCCTCATGGTCCGAAAAAGTAAGCATGGCCATGATTTCAGGTGCAGAAGAAGACGTAGCCCAAAACCAAAGCAGAAGTAGAAGCGAACGCGACTGTTACCTATCCACTTTGGATCCGCCTTTCCTGGTTACAGGCACGGGGAGATTTCCAAAACCTGGAAGTCGCCTTTTGGAATGATCTGCTCTGTATTTGGGAGTCCATAAGGGGGAGCCTCACTTCGGGAAATGCCCACGTCATCATCTATCCAAGGCTGCCTGCAACTAGTGAAGAAGAGCGCAAAAACGTTCGCATCCTTGGGGCGCTGAGATCTGAGATCTGAGAGCGGGACTCGTCCAGAAATTCTTCCAACTTGTATGGGGGATCCTTGCGCAAGGCGAGACACTACGATGTTTTGATGTAAGCGTTCCCGATATCCCATTTCGATGCATTTGCCGCAGTTTACCGCAACATCTCCCAAGCAATCGTCTACACTGCTGAATGGGGATAATATAGGGATAATGGAAAAGAAAATGGAAAAGAACATGAAAAAGAAAACGGAAACTCTTCTGATGAACTTGGCGGTGGAGTAACTTGTAACGCCAGAAATGGCGTTCCCCCAAGCTTGGCTTGCGGAGTAACTTGGCCTGCCTGAAAAGTATAATGGGATCCAAAACAAGTAGGGTTTAGGGCTTAAGGTTTGTTTATGGGCAGCGATCATAAGGATGATATCGTAGTTGGTGCTGCTTGGGGGGAACCAATACTTCTTAGACAGACACCCCTAAGTCTGTGACATACCCTGATTATTCCAATCTTCACGGCCTAGCTTGGACATGCAAAGGCCCACTCCGACAAACTATTCAGATGGTACCATTATTGGGGCATGTGGGTGTTTTCCTTTGTCCCTCTTGACCCCTGTCTCAAGAAGCCACATGATACCGCAACAAGTTACTCCATGTTGCTCCTAAAGCCTAAACGCGACACCTAAAGCATCCGCTCTCCAAGCACTCCCACCTTGGCAATGACTCACCCTTCGTTAGCTGAGAATGAAGGAATGGAAATGAAAATGGAAACTACTATAATGGGTTCTATAGGAACAACTATGAGGATCCTAGCTTTCCAAAGGTAAGATGAAAGGAGAACGGCGATATGGGGCTCTTTGCTTGAATCTGAAAGTTGGGTTTTGCAAAAGAAGTACTGATCAGTCAGGTACCACTACCGCAAACACATCTTCTGCAAGGGAAGTGGTAGCTTCCCTCAATAGGGGACCCCAATATAGACGCCAAAATGCTATAGCCCTTATTATTGGCCCTCCCACAAAGACAAAGGTAGCCCGAATTTTGGGAAACCCTAACCCCATAATCCCCTATATATCCTAGTTTCCATGTCATGTCCATTTTCTTTTCCATTTGATTCTCAATTTTCGTAGGTACACCCATTTTTGGGAAAGCCCAAAACCCAAAACCGTATATAACCCCTATATTACCCTATATAACCCCTAAAAGGGTGCCCCTACTTTTGGGAAAACCCCCAAGTCTGCCATAACCTCTGAGCAGCGGGCGCAGGCAGCAGATTGCCCGACCTGGATCGGGGGATCAATCGTGGGGCTTTGGGCTTTGGGATTTTGAGGTTTGGGAGTTTAGGGTTTTAAGGTTTAGGGTTTAGGGTGCCTTGGCTCA